CTCCAGAGGAGGAAGCTGTTGCTGAACTAAAGAAGCTGGACAAAAAGTGTCTCGGTTCCGTTGAACAACCAAACAGTGTGTTCCGTGATCTTTTTTTGATTCAACAAAGTGCCAATCCCAGGTGGAAGAGTGTTTGCGATGACCTTGGCCAAGTCTTGGATGACTTTGTGACCTACAATGTCCTGCATTCCACAGAGCTGGTTCCTTTACTGTGTCCAGTGTGCCAAAACAGATTTCCCATTGACATGGGCTATACTAGGGCCCTCTAGAAAAATTGTAGATCCTTATAGAGGCGAAGGGGTATCCATCAACCACCTGTCAGGGAGCCCTGGTGAATATATAATATAAGAAGTCTCGAATGCCCCACCACATTCGCGCGTCATTTCTTTTCTCGATTGCGACTTACTTGGGACACCCATCAAGATATCAAACAACACTGATTGGCCCCCATCCCAGAGCGTGCTAAGGCTGACTGCTTGCAACAATGGCGACCAGACGCCCAGAGCGCGTATGATGAAACCAGTACTGAGTTAAAGACTCCGCTGAGCTCTGTGTCTGCTGAAAAGCTTATGGGTTTCATCAATGAATCAAAGGAGAAGATGAAGCCTATTGCGGTTGATTTGAAAGATGCCAAAAGAAGGGTGTCTGCGGCCAAAGGCCCTAAGAAGAAAAAAGCCAAGGCAGGCTCTGAGCCTGAAGAATCTGGTGGGGAAAGTGATGGCTCCAACTAGGCAGCTTGTTTCAGTTGTGTGGCACTAGCACCCGACTCAGGACTTCAACTGAATAAACCTCAAAAGTACTCTTGATGGTGAAAGGGCTGCCCGTGGACCATCTCACTATTTGGTTTTGCGCCTGCAATCACCACACCCTTCACCATATATGTGGAGGATTTAGGACATGGTGAGGCAAACGCTCAAGGGGATCCTGTGATGTTTAGTTCTCAGCTGAACTTTTGGGACTCAGATGGAACATGACAAAAACGCTTCTACCATCAAAAGGTGTTTCCAACTTGCTCTTCGTAAAACCCTGCTGGGCTCCAAACTCTCACCATCACGTGGCGCGGTTGCTGAGCATCCGGGGCCTGTGGCTGCTGTTGCAATTTCAACACTTGCCACATGGAAATTCAAGAAAACATTCCACAATTGCGCAAGCATGTTCTTCATGAGTTGAATGCTTTAATAGAATTCTACCTTGTCAACAGTTATCTCAATTTGGGGCCTGATCGACCTCCTGTGCAACGCTCGAATCGACTCTTAGTTGTCCTTGTCCTTCAACTTAGAAGTGGAAGTTCGAAGGTCCCACTGATCTCAAACAAACGAAACACGAACCGGTCTTAGAACTTCCAACGCAGCACAATCAGTAACGACATGAAACAAATCATAAGAGAGAGAAAACATCGAACACGAGGATCCACTGTGTGAGACCCATTTGTAAAACACTTTTTAGGTATACCAGTTACCAGGGTTTTGCAAGATCGAATTCACTATACTTCCCTATGCTCGGGCGTTTTCTGTTTGAGCCCGCATGGTCAGCAGTGCTCACAAATGAATCTGGTTGAAGAGTTCTTGGAGCTTGGCAGGGATGTATCTTCACATCTATTAGGGTGGTGGTGGATTTGTGTAGTCCTTTTGTTTCTGAACTGGTCTAATATATTGTTTGTATTCCAGCTCTGAGGTAAATACAACAACATTGGTTCAGTTCTTCAAGATCGTGAGGAAACGGATTCCCGGAAGACTACTCCCGACGCTTGTCAGCGCATGCCTTCGAAGAGTTTCATAGTGTACAGGCTGCGCCCTAAGATTATACACTGTATATCACGCGCGCATCAGGAGAAACCTGCGTCAATTGGCTGACTCTTGCGATGGTTACGCAAAGCATGCAGCTACTCGGTTTTGGCGGTGGCTGCATCAGCAACCTTGGCGCAAAATGCTTCCGGAACCATTCGTGCCACTTGACCAGTTTTTGGATGGCCAGTGCGTGTTCCCAGCATGCGATAAGCCGTTGGTTAAGTATTCTGAGGGTGGAAGCGGTGTTCCATGATCGAAGCCGTGGTGAAGAATACTATGTGGATAAGTGGCCGGTCTTTTTGCCTTCAGAAGTGTTTCTTGGCCATGGTTGCGTTGCTGTGGGATTGCCTCATCCAAATCTTTACCATTATAATGAGGTTTCATTCGATGTTCAACTACAACCAGGAGCTTTTTGCCCAGCGGTTTTTGGGCCCACCTGGTGTACCTGGACAAAGAATATGTTACGAGTCGGCCAGTATGTGAAGGTCAGGTGTTCACCCTGCAGCGTCGCCGAGGCAATTGAACAGTTCTGGGAAGATATGCGTGACACTGAGTGGTTCAAGCAGCACCCAGTCCTTTCCCGACCAGCTTCTTGAATGAGCCAGTGACAGTGTTTTTTCCTCATGTCGATCCCTTGTAGTGGTCAAGGGGTCTTATCAACCACCCCCTGCTAAGCCCAGAACATCATGGTGTGTTGCGGTTGGCCACATTGACATGATACGCCAATGTGCTTGATGCGGGGATGTGATGTGTGCATGTGCAGGGTGTGTGGTGAATGATTTGTTTTGCCTTCTCAGGATACGCAGCTCAAGTATTGCGTGCCTCTCTGCTTCCATGGGGACGAGGCAGATGCGCACAGAAGACGGAGCTTTTGTGTGACCACCCTATCTTCACCTCTGGTGTCTGGTAGCCCTTGGGATGTAAAGGTCTTGATGTATGTCACAGATGTGAGTATTTGTTGTGACCAAACCTATGACTCACTCGACGCCTGGATGGTTTGGTCACTTCTCGAACTCCAAGAGGGATACTTTTTCGATGTGAACCCGTTCAACCAGAAGTTCGACCGGAAGAAGAGCGGAAGGGTCGCGGGACCGTTCAGAGGAATCTTGACGTTCTTCAAGGGGGACGAGAAGTTCCACCAGCGTGCCCTAAAGTTCAAGCAGAGTTGGGTCTCTCCTGAAGTCTGCGTGTACTGCAAGGCTTCACAGTCAGGCCCCTATCTGTACACAAGCTTTGGACCGGGCGCTTTGCACAGGAGTACTTTGTTCACGAACGAACAGTTCATTCGCGAGTCTTGCAGGAACAATCCTTGGATCCGACTCCCAGGATTCCACGTACGGTGCGTGGCCTTGGACTGGCTGCACGTAGTAGACTTGGCCCTCACTCCAGAGTGTGCAGCTTCAGTGCCACGACGACAATTCAAGTTTTTTGAAAAATGATGTCAACATGTGGCCTTTTGGGCGTTGAGACCGGTGGACCAGAGTCCAATCACCACCCCTTGTGTCCAGAGTCAATGAAAGGATGTTTTTTATTTTTGCTTAGGCCCTCATCGAATTGACCGCCACCAGCATGGTGTGGGAAGGCAACAATCCTGATGAGCGTCTCAGGAAGGCCTTTGTCCAGTACAAGGAGGCCTGCAAAGTGCATGGGGTAAGACACCTGGATGCGGTTGGAAAGCTTCGTGTCCAGTGCTGTTGTACGCTGCTTGTGGTGGCGCATTTGAGTGTCCTTAGGAAACAAAGGAGCTATTTTCACCCTGAGCCTCGGTGTGTGTAATCATTTACATTCACATGTTCGCGTTGTAGGAGTTTGTGTTGAGCCCTTGGGCAAGTGGTGAGCCCAATGGAGCGCATAAGGAAACAATTGTATCCTTTGGGCACTGGCAACTACCCTACTCTTGTGCAGAAGTTTTTCAATGGATCGGAGACTTGGCCCTTTCTGTTTGTTGTTATGTTCAAAGATGGTCTACACTCTGAGAAAAGTAGTTTTGCAAGCTGACATAAGCATGCTTAGGAGGCGGCAGTTTTGGCTATTTGGCTGAAGGGAGTGACCTTGGAGGTCTACCAACGGGACATGTCCGATGTCCACGCTGGCCTCCGAGCTGCCTTGTTTGTGAACTTGGTGGCTATGAGGCAGGCTGTCACTCCATCTGGACCATATCCATGGCGAATGTCGACAGAAAACCTATCCGTTCTACAGCGTTCCCATTTGTTGTTTCGCGCAGCCCACTCGGGTTCTTGCACTGCATCAATGATTGTTTGCGCACGTGTTGAATGATAATGGGCTTCACAAGTCTCAGTCCCAAGGGTTTGGATGACAGTCCTGACTCAGGCTTGGCTTGGAGGGCCATTGATGCAGAGCGGTTGCTATGGAAAGTTCGTCCAAAAATACATAAGCTTCTTGGAAGACATCGGATGTTTCTTTCATCCTATAGCCATCGGTGGGTTTAAGTAGCTGAGGCTGGAGCATATCGTTTGCGAACAAGCTCCATTGATATGCCCACTTGCAATTAGCAACTACGCGGACGAAGACTGTGTAGGGAAGATTAAATCTCTAGCCAAGCGTGCCAATCCAATTGGATTAGGCAACCAATGCTTGGAGAGATATGCAGCTTATGTGTGCTGCAGGTGGTTACGTTTGGAAACGGAGGGATGATGATGAAGTGATGTTTAAACCAATCGCAAAAACAACTTTGAGTGCCCTCTGTTTTCTTCACCCACACCTGTTCCCCGCACCGCGCCTTTGAAGCGCTCGATGGCCAAAACCAGCGCAGCGGGGCAGCCGCGCAGAGGGTAGGCGGGGCCCGGATGGAGGCAGGGATCTGGTTGGGTGTTTGTGGTTCCCGCGATCACCATCTCATGTTACCAGGTGTTTTTTATTGGGGTGTTGTTTGAACCATTCCTTTTTCCAAGAAGTTTTCTTGATGTCTTAACGGGTCTCCAATTATAGCCCCTTAACAAGACTCAACTTTGAAACTTAATTGGTGACCCCTTAGGGGGCCCTGGTACTGGTTAGCATCACATTGCGCACATTGACATCCTCACTAAATCCATCTGAACCCAGAGTGTTTTTCTGCCGACCTGTCTTCTTCTCACTTCGGCACCTCCAAAAAAGAATCAACAAGAACATCCCTTCCCTCCCCACCACATCCCCCCCAGCCAACCCCACCCCCTCTTCAACCACGCCCCCATGTTCGCTTCGTCGGCGGTGCTCCTCTCGTGCCGAGAGCTGCTCCAGGCGTTCCTGCAAGGGGAGCTCCTCGCTGCCCAGCAGCCGCGCGGGGTCCGCGGCACCCAGGACCCAGGAATCACCTTCGAGCCCAGGCGGGGCGGCCGCGATGATTGACACGGTGGAAGATGGAACCGAAGCGGAAAGCGTTCTCTTTCTTTTTCGGGGGAGGGGGGTGGGTTCAGGATGGTTCAGGATGGTTCAGGTGGACTGGTGGGAGTGGAGCAAGCTGAAGCAGGTGAGTTGTTTTTGTTGTTGACGTGGCTGTTGAACTTCGATCAGTTTGCCCCAGAGTTCTGAGGCAAAAGTGGTTGTCAAAAGGAATGTGGCGTGGATCTTGGCCTTCTGGCACCATGTATAGAAGGTAAAGGCCGCGCACCCGCTGAACACTTTGTGGGTTTCGAGAGCGCTTAGCTAGAAGCATTACAGTATATAGAAGTACATAGGAGTGAGTAGACGGCAATTATTATGTAAACAGTCAATTTTAATGAGCGTAAGAAAAGGCACATAGGGCTATCCGGGCGCATCATCCATATCTAGGACATAATCAGTCTTGATTACCACCATATTATTGTTTTCCTACCTTTCATGAAAGTCATGGAAGTGGATGGCAGCACCTGTTTGCTTCCCAAAGAACACCACAAGTATTCCAGGGACGTGTACCTTCCGCGTGTGCACCGTGTACCTTCCCGGTCCCCGGTTCAACACCGTCCGCCTCGGTTCAACTCGTCCTGCAGCTGCCCTCTGGACCACCCTGGGCGTCTCGACGCGGAGTCTCGGCGCATCGGTGGCACGGTCCGAGGGGAACAGCAGGGCAGCGAGCTCATCCACTGCCCTGTGCCATGCCTTTGTTCTTCTTTTTTTGCCAGACCTTTTGGGATCTGACATAATGATACAACTGATCCATATACAATTATGGTGAAGTGACAAAGTTCCACTATCAGTGTGATATTATGATAGTCATTGAAGAGTTCCCCCTTTGGACAATAGAATCACACTAACACTTGAGTTGTCTCCAAACTCCGCTGAACGTTACGCAGCGCTGTGGCGGATGACGACTGGACCTGTGTAGCCCACGACCAGCATGAAATCTTCCTTTTTCGCCTGCCAAAAACGACCCGACCGACCGCGAAACCGGGTGACTTTGGCGAGATGCGTAAACAGACTCGGGCAAAGAGGGTATATGAGCAAACCGGTCTTGGATTGCCCAAGAGATGTGTGTCTTCAACTTTGGGTAGGAATCTGGGGCCTTGGTGAATTTACAAAGAGATGTATGAGCTTTCAGACTTGCTTCAACTCCTTTGTTGCTTGCAGCCGCACAAGGAAGGATAGAGAATTGAGGACAGTCACCCCCTTGTGCCAGAAACATGTGATGGGGATGTGTCAAAAGTTGCTTGACCTCCCAGGTAAGTCAACCAAAAGTATCCTGGTGCCATGACCCGCAGCTCTAGATCCAAGAAAAACAAAGGCTCGGGCCTGGCGAAAGTCATCAGGGTGTGAACGCTTTTTTCCTTGGGGGGGACACAACCACGCATTTTCCTGGGCTCTAGGAATGTCTACTGTCCAACCTTCATTCCTATGACAGTGTCAGCATGTGTCAGCTGTCATACCCAACAACTCCTTAGTGAGTGCCGTCCGTCGTCCGCATGCTCCCGACACACCCATGGACCCTGAGACTAAGTGGATGGCATATGGCATGGCAATTTTTGTATCATCTACTTCTCATCAACTTCCAAACATAACCAGCCAAAGAACCAATCGTCTCCGAAGTCGTCTCCCTCCCTCGTCTCGTTCTGATCTCCTGACCGGTGACCACCAGAAACTTCGCTTGGCGAAAGTTCATGATGTAAATGCCTTTCATCACCCGGTTGCTGTTCCCAGCGAACCTCGGATCGGACGTCAGCGAACCCGACCGGCGTCGTGCACCGCGGTCGACCGGTCGACCGGCCCCGGTGGGGACTGGAGTCGAGTCGACCGGCTCGTCTGTGAACAGTTCTGGCAAATCAATTAGCAAGAGCACGCAAGAGCAGCTCAAAAACACTAAAACATATTATATAGTCTTATTGATTCTTAAGTCTTATTGTGTAAATCGTTTTAGTATAATTCTATACTTCCAACAATCGACAAGAACTAGGATGAACTATGGTACGTACCCCCTCAAGCGATCAAGTCATGGTGAGATCCCCGGAACTAATGAGCTACATCACGTGTTCCATCTTGGCCACAGCCGAAAGTTCCGTTTGGCTATTGATTGTCTTTACGCCCCTTGACGAATCATGCTTTACTCAACAACATGTCTTTTGCCCTTGCTGATTTGCCGCCCGTCTCAGAAGGTACGACTGCTGGGCCCTCCTGGCCCCTACATAAGTACTTGCCAATCACATCCAATCACCTTCTTTAGAAGCTATGTCGCACCATCTCGCACCGCATCCCCCAAGCTCGGGCGAGTGATGTCCAAGGTGACGATAGGGTGGCAGACGGCACACCCCTATACGACTGGGAGGATGGACGTGTTCCATCCGAAGACTGGGACGATAGGGTGGTGACTCTTGATGAAAGCGTTCCCCCCTCAAATCGCTCCCCCCCCGTGTAAAACAATTGGAGACCCTTTTTTTTTGAATCACAAGGCCCACGAGGTCCACGTTAGTTCAAGTTGATTCAAGGATGTTCAGGTTGTTCAGGTACTAGATATACAGGTGTCTAACAGGTTCAAGGTCCACGTTAGATTCAAGGACCTTCAATTCAGGGACAGGTTGTGCCTTCACCACATCAATGGCCAGTGACCTTCCCCGAATTGCCAGGGACCGACTGGGTCCAGGACCGAGTACCATACCGTGCCAAGGCGCCGTTCTAAGGTGTGAAGGCAAAAGTGCCGCGGGCGCTCACCTGCCGGTGATTCCGGTGACGCCGGTGATTCCGGCAGGGTCAAGGCCTCAGAACCCAGACGGCCCCATGGGACTGGAATAGGACTGCCGATCAGTTGGGGTGGTGGAGGCATATATTCCATACATGGAGCCTACGGGTTATAATACGTATTAAATCTATTTAAATCTAATAGTCGTCTATAAGAGTAAGACTATAGTGGCATGCTCAGGCTAAGAAGGCTGATCTGAGTTCTGGTCTTTTTGTGCTTCCGCAAGAATCCTTGCCCTCCATGGTAGGGGTCGGGCCCTCCATAGCAGGGGTCCGGACCCTCAAAACATCTCAAAACCCTATGTGATTTAGGGCCCGAATTCTTAGGGTTATAAAACAACAAGAAGAACAAGAACAAGAACAAGAACAAGAACAACAACCACAACCACAACCACAACCACAACCACCAGCACAAGGTCTCTGCGCCTTTCTCGAAAGAACACCACCCGCTCCCCTCATCTCGCTGCCCCATTGGTTCCATCCTCGCGCCTTTCTCGGCGCATTCCAAGCCCTCGCAATCCCCGCCGAACCAGACTTTCCAGTCCTTGAGACCTGAGCGGAGCTGTCGCCACGCATGGCGATGGCCAGAGACCGCACCAGACCGCACTTGCAAACAGAACTGTGGCCCCTCTGCGATTGATTTAAGAAGAGCCCATGGCAGGAGGCCACTTGCAGAGATGAAATCACTGGAAACTGATGTTGGCAACCTGTTGGTATTAGCACTAAACGCTAAACCACATCCACACATTTGGTGGTAAGTCAGGTACCATCACACATTCTCTGGCAGCCATTGTAAATCTTTCTGTTTGAGCAAATCCAGGGAAAAAGTGGACAAACTGGAGACCATCAACACCCATGGATAAAGCTCAATTGCTCCATGTCTTCCGTTTGTTGGCCGGAGTACTTCATGAGTCATAGAGTCATATAGCTCGACTTTTTCTCTTTGATGACCGTCATTCCCCCAAACACCGCCCACTGAACCCCCCGGACGATCAGAAAAACACCGCCCGGACGATCACTCGAATGGACTCCCACGCCTTGCGTGAGACCGAAGAACTGAAAGAGGGAGTCGGTGAAGAGCTCCGACTCGCTCAAGTCCTCGACCGCAGCAACGAGGCGAAACGAGAGCGACGACGCCGAGGGCCTGGCCCAGACCCGGTCGGACAGAACAGGCCGGAAGCATGTGGAAGCAACCACAACATATTTGATGATCTGGTGGAACACCAACGAAGTTCAACGAAGCACAAAACATGAGAGTTTCATGTGGGAAGTGTCACAAATAGGCCCATGGAAGACCATATTCCGATAACAAAATAGGGGGATGTCCACTTAATGACTTAATTAATCACCTTCTTTGGACGACCTGGTGCATTCTGAGTGTATCATGGGTGTGTCACTGGTGGTTGGCAACATCGATGACAGCTTCAAACAACCAAAGCCTAACCCCACTGGAGTTGTTCACAAAAGAAAAGGCAGGGTCAAAACGAAACAGTGGACAGTTCTGTCTGAAGAGTGAAGCCCCCCTGTTAGGCATTGATTAAACACCCCCACTGTTAGGCAGTATACACAACATGACACAAACTGACTGGTGCGTCTCGCAGGGAATGAGGGTGGCTGGATCCACTAGAATGTCTAGCTCAGGGGGCTCATTCTCTTATTCCCTACGACTAAGCACCAGTCAGCAAATATCACAACTATCAATCCTAAGTGAGTGGAGTAGCTGGGCACTCCGAACCTCCATGGATAGCACCCCGTCTTGTGACTGCTGGATGACACAACTAGCACCCCTCCATCTATTACGGTCCAAAGCGCCAGGTCGGCTGCCGTCAGCTGCGTGGGGCGGTTCAAGACTACTCCCACGGTGCCCTTCTCGTGGTGATCCACGATGAGCATCACCACCTGCCGAACGAGTTCGCCGAACGCCGAAGGCGCAGCGAAGGCGCTTGAGGGGACAGCGGACAGCGGACGCTGTCATGAGACTCGATTTGATGACTCCAGTCATCCCCAGTCACATGAAACACATGAAACATGAAACATGAACATGTATATATTATTTGGCATTCCTTTTTTCATGGCCGTGTGATCCGAATCCGTGTGTTTTCTTTTTGGTTTTTGGTCAGACGGGTCGTGAAGCAGGGGGGTGAAGCAAGGCGAGGACTATAGTGCTTTGTGCCAGTCGTCTTGTGGGTGTGTGTTTGACCAACGGCTCAGCCGCTTTGGTGTCTGACGGCGACCAGAAGGATCCAGCAGGCTGACTTGTTCGGTATATGTCCAACGGCACGTCGGCCCCACATGGGTGCAGCTAAATGATTAAATGCTTTATATTGTGGTACCCCACTACTGAATTCATGAAGGAACACTACATCCCCATGCATATATCTATATCTATATATATATATATACCTTCTCAAGAGGTCTGACTGGGCCCTCTTAAATAGTCTCCACCTTCTCAGAAGGTATGTGGATCCATTAGGGATCGGATTCCATTGAAGCCATTGATGGTACCGATCGAAATCGAAAGACGAACGACTGCCTACGCAGGTGCCCAGCGGTTCACTGGGGCCCACTTCGGGTCCAAACCTTGGTAGGTTGACTAAACTACCGTCGTCTATTCTCGCTAGGGCTCATGGCCCATATCATATCCTCAGGTTCGGTGGGGACTAACCCCCCTGGCACCCACCATCACCATCTTCGAAACAAAGGAGGCAGCCAGGAGCCCAAACAGGTCTGTTCAAAATTGGGTCAATGCTGAAGTCCTGAGGTTTGGATCCTCAGAGAGCCTGAAAGACCTTTCACTGAGAAGTCGTCAAAGTCTCGACCAGGTCTTCAGTGGAAAACTCTACGTACTCCACCATCCAACATCTCAGTCAGTCGACTGACTCCCGAGCCCTAAAGCTGGAGAAACCAATCCCTGTATAAAGGGTACGCCCTGGAAGACTAGCATGGACCCTGAAAACCACTGGTTGGTAGAGGAAAAACACTCGGACCTATAGGGGGCCAGGACGGACGTCAGGGTCTATGTGAGTGGACGTCGGGAGTGTATGATCCGTCTGCGGAGGCCTTGGCAAAGTATTGGCGCCGTAGTGCCCAATAGTCACCTGGCGCCGGTCGAACTCCCAGGGCTGTTGGGAGGTTCCTCAAGGACCAAACGATCAGGGAGGGAGTCACAGTTAGGATAGGGCTTGCCCGTCCCGAGATATAGGCCGACTCCCTGTCCCAACTGGCACTGATTGGTATTTCCACACTTGGCAGTTTGTTATGACAAAACTTTTGCAAGTGTACCCAGTCACGATGGATGGATCTGAGTTTGTTGGCCAATCTGGCACTGGCATCAGTGTTGCTGTGTCGGGGCAGCAAATGCAAAAGTTAGGGACTGTAACAGGATCATACAGAATGAACTGAACCATTGGATACCCACCCACCTTACAACCTCACCAAAGGCCGAAGAGAACAGCCCATGAATCTAGATTGTCTTTTCAAAAGCACATCGACGGCCATGCAGCAAAGTGTCCTGCCTGGTACAGAGAGGAGCACGGAACCCTGTTCCAAGAGGTCAGTGGAATAGGCCCAGCCACTGCTTTCGCGTGTGCCAAGGCCCGTAGTCTTCCGAGAGCCTGGACCAAGGGGATTGCAATGTTTGGGAGACGTGCCCGTCTGGAGTGCAAACGGAGGCGTTCGGGCAAAGGAGAAGTTAAAAAGCAAACAGTATACCCCTTACTAACAGTTCGTCTTCTCAATACAGCAATCATTATCATGTAGCTGCAAGCTCTTTGACCATACAAAGAAGTTGTCCACGTTGGCTAACCACAGGCTGAACATGGTTTTTGGTGGCCCGCAAAAAAACACCACGAGAACACTGCGGGGTCACACAGCGCACTCACCAACTATTGGTCAATGTGTTTCTGCCAAAACTACTCTCTGGAATCATCATGGTTGCGTGGAACACCATCACCATGCTGTAGGTCCACCTGGCACACCCTGAGGGAGCCTGAGATCCTATCCATGTCCGCCATCCAGTCGTGCCTCCTCAGATGCGTCCGGACCCACCCGGACCCACCCACCCACCCACCCACCCCAGTCACAGCCCGAGTCCCGAAGCTACGACTTGGACTGGAAGCTCCACTTGGACCCCAAACACGACCTGTCTGGGACTGCCATGTCGCCATGTCTGGGAAGACCCCCCTGGCACCACCACCACCCCAAAAGCCATTTCTCGGCAGTCCGACATTGGCAGTTCCCATCCAATGTGTCGTGTCTGGGATAGATAAAATCATAAAGGCTTTCTGGAAATGATCTGTTCCTTCGTTGGGTTGAACCCACCCGCTCTTCGGCTCCACCACGGCCTCGATCCATCGATCGGCCGAGTTCGGCACCGAGTTCGCCCGGAGTGCGCGGGGTGCCCGCCCCAGCGCCTTGCACCAGTTTGGCGCGGAAGTCTCCTGAGAGGCGGACCCATGGGTTTGGACCAGCCTTCCGTTTGTTGTTTTAAATCGAGCAAGAACAGCAATATGTCATAAATTGTAAAGTAATATAGTAATTTATCAGGATATCAATATCCGTTGTCCATTCATATCCAAAGTTCGGTCAATTCCTGACATGACAAACAGGTAGAGCTACCACCTGCACAAAACCTGATTGTTATAAGTCACTCAACAATTAGAATCAGAACACCTTATTAGGTGGAATGAACATAATCATCCACACATTCATACGTCCACCGTCCACAACCTACTTGAATCTACTTGATAATGACTGGCAAAGCCACTCATGTGGCTTTGTGAACACTTCTTACTACCGGGTGGAATCGCAAGTAACACAGTTTGTGGATGTCTATGCGGGCCCTCCCGTTCAGCCATTTCACATCCAATCAAAGTTACACCAAACAATCTGATAAGTATAGGGACTCCAAACAAGCATGATGATCTATCCCAGCACAATAGATACGAGTAACACACAACAACACACACCATGCATATACAATTCAGTGGCTTCGTTTCGGAATGGAATGAATAATCGAAAACTATAGCCAGCGATTCTACCTCCCAAATCCTCCCAGCAGCTCCCAAGCCCAATCGAATTCCAAGCAGCTCCAATCTCGGAGGCTCTCGGAGGCTCGCCGCACCGTGCCGCGTCGCAAGCCGCGTCCGTCCAGGGCACCCTGGCACTGAAAAGGTACGCTCTCCGGGTGAGTCCGGTTTGCTGGACGCACGTGGTGCTTTTCAGGATAACCCTATAGGATTCTAAGCACCATTCATTTAATAGGCTGAATCCCGAAACACCATTGTTTTACTAAGGGTTTTACACTACAAGGCCAGGTCTTGGAAGTCTGGGGATAAGATGGGATTGCTTTGGACACCCGACGTCTGCTTTGGTATACTGTGTTTCACTTGTAGCACCGTGTTTCTGATTCCTGTGGCGCCTTTGGTTCCCAGCTCAGGGGTGCTTGTCTTTTTGGGGTTCCCTGCTTCTTTCCGGGACAAAAGTGGTGAATGACATGTTCATTCCTCCTTCCTTACTACTGACGAAAGGATAGTAGGGCAAGAGCCTTAAGCTTGCAAACCAGCAGTTACTGATTGATTGCATTGTTGCCCGGCGTTATCTATCCGTATGGAGTTGATCGGGGCTTCTTTGAGAATAGAATAGAGATCCTCTTGTTGTATTACAATCGAGCTTCTCTGGAGAAAACAACATCTTGGAGTTTGGTCTTTGCAAGCACCTCTTCCTACCAAAGTGTTGCCTAAGAAACCGGGGAACCCTTTTTTTTAACCCCCCAACCTCTTTTTTTTAACCTCCACCCTTTTTTTTCAACCCCCCGACCCTGTTTTTTAACCCCCAACCTCTTTTTTCTAGCCCCAACCTCTCTTTTTTAACCCCCCAACCTCCCTTTTTTAACCCCAAAACCTTGCTTTTCTAAACCCCCGACATCCCCCGACCTTTCTTTTTAACCTCCAACCTCTGTTGGACACCCGGCCCTTACTTTTTGAGAGCTGGAGGGGGGTTGTCGTTTTCGTTCTCGTTGTCGTTGTGGTTGCTGTGGTCGTCGTTGTCGTTGTCGTTGTCGTTGTGGTTGTGGTTGTGGTTGTGGTTGTGGTTGT